CACAAACACAGGTGAGCATCAGTGTTTAAAAATTTAAACACTCCCCAGCTTCATCGTACAAGTTGGTAATCTAATATACTGATAGTGTGTTTGTTATGAAGTTGGGAAGCCTCAAACATAGGTAGAACTCCATGATAGTAGAGATATGGATTGGAGTGAAAGTAGAATGGATCGCATGTTAACAATAAAACAAACATGCTAGGTGTCTGTATACAATGAAGTTGCTGATGTAAACTAACCAGATTGACAAAGAGATATATACGTTCAGACTGCTTGTTACTAATTGGCCAAATGAAGCCAAAATAATATAATACTAAGAAAATTTGCACACTGCATAATATTACTGGAAGAAAAACATTTCATAAATACCTGCCCAAAAAGAATTTCATTCAATTCACTCATGGAAGGTGTTCTCTCAACAGCATTAACCTAAAATCAGATCCAGGAAAAAGCAAAACCAAAGTATGAGCTCCACATAAGTTACTGACACAAAAATAAATAAATCTAACTCACTGCAGATACTTCAACTAAAATTAGGTATCAGATAATTGATGCCAAAAAATAAATACAAAGAAATATTGATCCCTCAGATTCATCAAGATACTTTTTGTATACTATGTATTGTGGGTACCTATCTAAGTAGGTTTCTTAATTTGATAACAACGCTGTTCTCTTTGGACCTATTTGGAAGAGCTTTTTTAATGTTTATTTTGAATTGTAGCACAAGTACTTACAAAAGTTTATGGGAGAGCTAATGCAGATGGCTTATGATACTTTCATAAACTGTTTTCTAGCTTATGAAAACAACTTACAACTTTATAAACGTAGTCTGAGCTTATTTAATAATGGTGTTGAAGATGTTGATAGTAAAAATAATGGCAAAAAACAGGTAGGGGGGAAATTAGAAGTTCATTGTGCATACACCTAACCTCCAAGCCTCCAGGGAAGCAGAAAGAGAGAAGATCCTTGTCATTAAGAGGCAGCTGTTTTTCTGGAGGGTAAACAAATAAGACCTGGAAAGAAAATGAAAATAAAGTTTTCTTGATACCAATACATCTGAACACAAAACTAATATTCAGACAGCAGCCAAGAAATTTGTAGAGTGACACGGCAATAATGGTGTTGGAAGAAAAAAAGTGATAGGACACGAGGCAGTAAGAATAATTATCACAGTTATAGTAATGGTAATTCAATTTATGCATCTGATTATCAAAACCTGAGGTTCAAGAATAGGCCCCACACGGGATTGATTCTGATAACCAAGAGCACTTCTTAATTTACCAGGGCCTTCAGACTTTCTTAAGAAATATTGCGCTTGCAGTGCCTGAATATCACAATTAGGATGAAGTCCAACAACCACCATGCTTTCAAACAGCTTTGTTGGCTCCTTCCATGACCTATGGTCCTGTAAAATATGAGGGAGTCTATCAGGGTTTGGGAACAAATTAGTATGAGTTTATGTGCCGAGTCAAAAAAAAGGCACAAATCTAAAAACGTTGATGATGAGATTTAGCAAGAAGAAGAAGAAGCATATGTAGATATGATGGTTTAAGGTGAAAGGGAGGAACATCTAAATGTTCAAGTAACTCATGCTTGGGCCAAACTGCTAAATAAAGAACAAAGAGGAAAAGTATTTAAAACCTAGTACTAAAAATCCAACAGTATCAACCAACTTAAAATTCCTTATAGTTTACACTAAAAAGAGTGCAACAAACATCTAGTTCTGACTTCTAATGATTCAATAAAAAGATTTTAGTTCTACCATGTACTGTAACTGAAAGTTTGCAGCCCATTGACGCTTCTGAGTTGTCAGTATTTCGGGATTGTAATTATTATATTTAACTTCAGAAGGGCGAGAAAATCCTTTTATCATTTTTGTAACTTGATACTGCAGCTTTTGTAGTTGATTTCCACCTTGATCATTTTTTGATGAATATATAACAGATGGCCTTGGGGAATTCACAGCAGAAGCAACAGCTCTAGCCACATCCTCTGTTGTCTGCATAATAATTGAAGCACCCCATTTAGGACTACCAGTCACTTCCTCCTTTGACATTCCAGCCATTTGCATCTTCACAACAAACAAAACAATGATTTTGGTAGGTAAAATTCTCTAAGAAGAAAAAATAATTCAAAGAAAGTATCACTCAAAATAAAGCTACAAAAAAATCTCAAATCCATTACAAAATGTGAATGCCTTACTATCATGCAAGCCAACATAAAATAGTGGCAGCTATGAACAAATATACCAACATGTCGCCAAAAACTGATTCTTCATATGCGCAAAAAACAAGTATTTTTCAAGGTAGAACTTAAAAATTATTCTCTAAGCATGGCACCACGCCTTAAAAATATGTGATATTGTGCCCTTCAAAAGTTGGCATCAGCAACTCTAATCGTTAGGAACGAAAATCCACCAACGATGAACCACCGGCATAAACCGGTCGCCCACAGTAACACCATTTAACTTACAGATAAAACAAACCCCTCAAAACAACGTTTCCTCCACAATATAACTTGCCTTCAACAAACAGGCTTAAGTATTACAAAAAATCCATTTTAGCACTCGATTTTTATACTCATAGCTCCTTCAAGCTCACCAGTAACCATCGTCATGTTTCATGTTTACTCTGTCTGTTACCAAACAAACTGAAAAACACGAAGAGGGTGATAATCGATCCACATATTGAATGACACAAAAAAAATACATTTAATCTGATTCAGGAATACCGAAGAAGAAAAATAATGAAAAAGGAAAAAAAATAATAAAACAGAGCAAGGTAGAAGATGAAAGAAGTGGATCAAATTGATCAGATTGAACATAAAGGAAACTGAAATCCGAAAACCCACAAGAGCAAAACCAAAAAAAAAAAAAAA